CCTTTCTTTCCTCGGTCTTCCTCCCTCTGCCCAGCTCTGTTTCAGTTAGATCTCTCTCTCTGTCTTTCTGGTTCCACTTCCTTTCTGACTCTTCCTTTGTCCATCTCTCTGTTTGATTTTCCACCCATGTCTCCACCCCTTTGCATATTAACAGACCTGCCTTACCCACCCCCTCCCTCGTGCCCTGGCACCAACAGGAGAGGCTGACAAAGAGCCCAAGGACTTGGTGGTGATGAGGGGCCAGGCCCCGACATCCTGCTGTTTTGCACACCTGGAAGTCAAAAGGCAGTATTGAGAGAGGCAGAGTTCCGAAGGAAGAAGTTGGGAATCACGGTGGATGGGTCAGAGTGACCAACATCCAGAAACAGCAGCTGGGCGCTTGCCACTGAAGTCTGGAGCCAGAAACTTGGGACCAACAATCTTGGGTTTGTAACCTGGATTCTGGAGTTTGTAACATCAAGTCTGGAGTCCAGGATCTGGGCCTGGGGTCTGAGTGTGGGAAGTGGATTCTGGAATTTGCTATTGGAATCTGAACTCAGAAAATAGGACAAAGGGGGTGCCTGGCTCTGGCTGGCTCAGTCAGAAGAGCATGCGACTCTTGATCGCGGGGTCCTGAGTTCGAGCCTCACAGTAGGCGTAGAGATTACTTAAATAGATAAAACTTTAAAAAAGAAAAGAAAATAGGGCTGTGGAAATGGACTGTGTTCTCCAGAGGCTAAGGTATGAGTCTTGGGCCTGAAATCTGTATTCCAGAGTAGTGGTTCTCAAAGTGTAGTTAGTGGAAACTTGAAGGGGTTCCTGAGACTGTTATAGGGGGTCTTGTGAGGTCAAAAAGTAGTTTCCTGTTAATCCTAATGCACTATTTACCTTTCTTGCTCTGACTTTCATGAGTGTATAGTGAAATTTTCTGGAGCCTACATGACAAGTAATAGCACAGCAAATTAAATGCAGAAGCAGATAGAATCAACCCAGCTGTCTTCTGTTGCCACATTTTAAAGAAACTTGCAAAAATGTAAAAACATTGTTATCTTCTCAATAGTTTTTTTGTCTCAGAAAATAGAGTTATTTTCCATTAAGATACATTATTTATATTGACATATATTTGTTATTGTGTTATTTTTTAATTTTTATTAAAAAAATTTTTAATGTTTATTTATTTTTGAGACAGAGAGAGACAGAGCATGAATGCAGGGAGGGGCAGAGAGAGAGGGAGACACAGAATCGAAGCAGGCTCCGGGCTCTG